AAAAAAAAANNNNAAAAAAAAAAAAAAAAAAAGCAACCCAATTAAACAAGCTGAATTATGTTTTTAAAGAGTTTTTCTATAATATATACGGAATCTTACAATAGACTCACTCGTATAACAGGAATAAAAAAGGCAACTCTTATTCATTTTTTTTGGCACCCCTCCATAATTTAGTTATCAGAGCCTTAAGGAGCACTTCTATGTGGGAGAGGGTCAAATATCAGAAAAACATCAGTGCCAGTACCCCAAACTGCTACACATTCCTACAGTTACTATACATCAGCAACTACAGGGTTCTCTACTCACCTTTTTAGCTGTTCTGGGCATCCTTGGACCTCGAGTGTCTTTTTCCTTTGACTGCAGGATTTTCAGTTTCTTTTTTTCTCGGATCTGTTTTGCCAACTGTCGGATTTCCATCATCTCTTCATCTTCACTTTCTGGTTCGCTGTCATACTCCCCAGCAGCTTCTCTCAGCTCTTCTTCTTTCTCTAATTCTTCCAGTTTCTTAGAAGAGATTAAATGAAAATCAGGATGCTCACCAAATCTTAGACTTATAATGCTCAATGCAACTGTGCCACTTCTGGCAACACAACCTCAAAAAACCTTCTCTCTCTGCATTTACCATGATTCTGGAGCACTAGCAAACCAGATGAACCCAACTGCCCAACCAGCAGGCTCTGCAGTCTGCACTCACAACTTCTTAAGGACCAGCAAGAAATAAGAATGGGGCTTGTTATTACATAAAAATGCTGTCAATTGAGAATGCAATCTATTTCCTTCAATAGCATGCTCCAGCAGACAGAAATTTGATGGGTTAATTTCTTATTATTAATAATATATTTTAATAACTACATTCCTTCCAGCAACAGTCAAAGAGTAGGGAAATACAACCTTCCCTGTAAATCTCTGCTCTGATAAAATAAAGCAATTTTCCACTCTCCTGAAATTGTGTCTTTGGTCACTCAGAAAACAGTGTCCTTTCTCACAGCAAGTGCAGACAAGTGTGGAAGAACTGGCTTACAGTTTCTGGTTTTTATCTATGAATATCGTAACTTAGAGAAAACAACAAAGGGATGAAGAGGCAAAAAAGTGTGAAAAGAATGACTGAAAACTCACTTTCATTATATCTGGATCAATGTAATCAAGGATATTGTGACCTTGCCATATCTCTGGAATCTTATCATACTTTTCAGATGAATTCATTAAGTCCCAATATTCTTTAAAAAAAGAAAAAAGAAAAAAGAAAAAAATGTTAATGAAAAGATTAAGATAATTTCAAAGTAGAATGTTCAACGACAGAAGACAACACATCACAAAAAAAAAACAAAACAACACACCCCTAAATGGGAAAAATTTCACAGTATCTCTGACACATTCATAAATCCTTCTGATCCTCTGCCTGCTGCCAAATATTGTTCAGGAATCACAAAGTCCAATGCATCAAGAATTAATGAGATCAAAGGGAAAAATAACCTGAACCATCAGATCAGCCATTTTATGTCTGTGACTAAAACAGCAACCACTCAGAGGCATCAGAAAACATGAACATCACCAGTTGTGGAACAGAAGGACTATAAAAGGTGGCATGCAGCAGAAGGGAATCCATTTTAAGTTTTCTCCAATAAGATCAAACTTTACTAACCAACAATAATACTGACTTATGTAATTACTTACTCTGAAGATCCAAAACATAATCATCTCCCATTTCAAGTTCAAGATCTCTCTCCTGCAAAGACAGATATGATTTTATATCCACGTGCTAACATTACGTATTTTAAAACCATCTGTAGATTTCCTAATTAAGAGATACCACTTACTGATTTCCTCTTGGGTGTATCTACTTCCATGCGCTTCTTACGTGCTATTGCTCCCTCAGGTATAAAAGGCAGCCGCTCCTGAAATTAATGCAACAATTCACCCCAGGAAAAAGGAAAAAAAAAAACTGTCTGAAACAATTTTTTTTAATAATATTGCAAATCACAGTTTTAATGTAATGTATTTCTGGGAAATGAAGTCCCAAGCTGACTAACCTGTCAGCAAACTCAGTTGCAGATAAAAAAAAAAAGCAACAAGAAAATCTCAACATATATTTCATTAATGTGTTATGCTAAGAAAGAATTCTAGTCCTATTGAAATTGTACTGGGAAATATATTGAAGTGTAAACGTGCAGCCTACCTTGTTATCTCTTTTGGCTGGCATGGCCAAGTGTAATCTATTCAACACTTCATTCACTTTATTTCCTTTCATTTTAGTATCAACACGATGGGCCAGCAATCTGTCACAGGCCTGAAAGTGCACGAGGGAACATAAAGTAAGGAATAAAGTCATCCCGATATGACGAGTAGCACAGCAAGGTTTAAATCCCAAATACCCAGCTTCTATCTAATCTTCTGCCTCACCTTTCTAGCTCTCAAGAAAGGATCAACATATTTTATATAACAAGTAACATGAGTATATGCATATGATCCTGTTTTGTTGGCATAACCAATATTTTATAATGAGCTGACAATAAGAGAACGGCCTTAAAAATCTTACAGAAAATGGATTATATCTAACACAATGCAAATCATTACCTTTCCCTTTGCACCCAATGTGTTCAATGTGCTATTAAGAACACCACACTAAAAGCTTTTAGCACAGTTTAACTGACAATAAAATCTAAGCTCAAAGAGGGCAGATTTAGTTTAGATAGAAGGAAGAAGTCTTTTACAGTGAGGGTGGTGAGGCTCTGGAACAGGTTGCCCAGAGATGTGGTTGATGGCTAGAGACTTTCAAGGCAAGGCTGATCAGGCCCTGGGCAACCTGATGTAGCTGTGGTGTCCCTGTTCATTGCAGGGGAGCTGGACTTCAGAGGTCCCTTACAACTCTAAGGGCTCTATGATTCTCTGATTAATCTGAATGAAATTGAGAGAAAAGAGACATACTTCTGTTTTAACTTGCATCACACCTTCTTCTGTTAGGGTACTTGTCTCTATTACTGAAAATCCTTCTGCTTCAAAAGATTCAAATATTTTCTGAAATAGAAACATTACCACAAATAATTACATTCTGCCTATTACTTAATATACCATTACACCAAGGACTGAAATTTTAACCCAGTGGCAATATATGCAACTTGTTATTGAGGAACTTTATTAAAATGTGTTTCTAAAAAGATGACAAATTTTACAATTGCAGTTCTATTTAATCTGTTGATTTGTAAATAAATAACCACTTCCTATATAGCAACTGTAAATGACACATCAATAAAATAGAAAAAGAGATGGAGGGAAAACACAAACTGCATGTGTCCTTGAACTTGTAGATACAAAGGAACTATATACAGAACTGCTGCCCAATAGAACTCCCATTAAAATCAGTGCAGTACCACTTATCAGTCTAGGGCTCATTATCTCTTAAACTACTGAAACAGCCCCTATTGAACAAATCTATTAATTCCAACTATAGCAGTAATTAAAAGATCTCACAGTGTCTGAGATTTCTAAAACTGCTAAGGAGCTGCTTACAGTTTGGTATTTACAATACTCTGGTAAGTATGCATACTAAACAGTGCAAGTATACGCACCAGGCATAAAGATCAAGACTTGGAAAACTACCTTCCAGTACACTATTAAATAGTTAAGAAGTGGTCATGTAATTTTTTTTTTTTTTTTTTGCCCAATCTAAGTTTTGTCAGTCCACTAATTGTGCACACAGCACTTTTGTTAATTTTGGAAGAAAGACAGGGGTGGGAACATCAGGCTCACCCGGCTCTCTTCAGGAAGTTCTTCAATTCTCTTCACATCACATTTGTTTGCAACAATTATAAGTGGCTAATAAAGAAAAAGAAAGAACAGTCACAATCCAAGCTATCACATTACGAAAATACTGATTTTACAAATAACGTAAACCAAACTTACCTTGTTAGCAAACAATGGCTTAATATTTCTGAAGAGTTCCACTTGTTCCTCCAGGCTGTGCCCACACTGCTCAGATACATCCATCACATAGAGCACAGCAGCACGCAGATGTGCGAGCGCAGTTATAGCCTGCATCTCAATGGTGTTCCTGTCCTCCAAAGGATGGTCTAAAATACCAGGAGTGTCTACGACCTAAAATTAACATAATTGATACACTGTTTGATAACATATTCTTGATTTCTTGTCCATATTCTCAAGACTACAGTATTCCTTTCAGTCATAAATAAGACCATAAACTCAGTTAAATTGAGAATGTGGAAATGGAATAATGCAAAACCAATGAGGTTTCAGAGTAAGAAACAAGAAGCAAATAAGTATGGACAGCCCTGCCCCAAACTGGCTCTGAATTTAATACTGACAAGAAGGGACCTGGCCTTACTCAGACATTCCAGTCCCAATTCTTCCCCCAAACAGAATATGTATACATATATGCATGTTTTTAGAACAGATTTGGACTACTATCCCTATTTGACACATAGCAGCTCTCAGGCACGGCGTTTCTCATCAAGGCAAAAAATGTAATTCAGGTTGCAAAGTGGCAAATAGTAACCAGTTGATTCTGGCAAGAAAACGCAAAATGATACCAGTTCTTACCTGCCAGCGCAGGTATCTGTAATCCATATGTCCCACAAACAGAGATTTGGTGGTAAAGGCATACGGCTGCACTTCTACATCTGCTCTTGTGACCTTAAAACAAGATTTATCAGGACATTTATTGAATATTTCCTGAACTTGCACACTGTGTATCATAATCATAACTCACTGCATTTACTACAGAAAAGCTAAAGAATGGTTATTTGGGCTGTTTCTCTGCAATCACTCATCTGTCAGAAAATGCATTAATCATGTACACACTAATTTGGGAAAGATAATAATTTTGAGTGGAATCTGCTCTAATTTTACATATAACCCTCCAGAAATTTCAGTCAGCATCTATTCACCCATATGAATTTGCTAACTCTCAGAGCAGACAGTGCTATAACAACATCAAATGGTTCAAATTTTATTCTACCTTAAATAAATAGTACCTCAATATTATTTAAAGAAAAATCACACACCTTATTTATAAAGCTCGACTTCCCAACATTTGGATAGCCACATAACAGAAGAGTTCTTGTATTGGGATCGATGGTTGGCAAACGAGACAAATGTTGTCGCACTGAAACATTTAAAAGATGTCTGAAGTATTTGTCTTAAATCACATTTGAATGGAAGAAAAAATTCATATAAGTGTTAAAACACAGCTCAGTAACTTTTTTTTAACTTCAGAAACCGATTGAGCAGTCACTTATGAAAATGCACTGTTGTCTGTTAACTCCAGAAGTTTCACACAACAAAAAAAAGAAACTTTACTTTATATATGAAGACCACCGTTCTGTAGTTAGAGTGAGTGCATCATATCAGGCAGCACAGCCTGAGGTAAGCAATAATGAGCCTGAAATAAGGACCGCTGCTTGGAAAATGTTTAGCAATAATTGATTATTAGATTATTACAGGGCTGGAGCACCTCTCCTATGAAGAAAGGTTGAAAACTGAGCTTGTTTAGCTTGGAGAAGGTTCTGGGGAGACTTCATTGTGGCTTTCCAGTATTTGAAGAGAGTGTATAAACAGGAGCGGGAAAGACTATTTACGAGAGAGGACAGTGATAGGACAAGGGAGAATGGTTTTAAACTGAGACAGGGGAGGTTCAGATATTAGGAGGAAGTTTTTCACTCAGAGGGTGGTGAGGCACTGGAACAGGTTGCCCAGGGAGGTTGTGGATGCCCCATCCCTGCAGGCATTCAAGGCCAGGCTGGATGTGGCTCTGGGCAGCCTGGTCTGGTGTTGGTGACCCTGCACATAGCAGGGGGTTGGAATTGGATGAGCACTGTGGTCCTTTTCAATCCAGGCCATTCTATGATTCTATGATGAATTTTTCAGATACATATATGTGAAAATAATGATAAACACAAGCATGGCTACGACCTTTCAGTGAGTACAGACATTTTGTAACTATTACTAACAACACAGCATTTTAAATTTAAAATAAGAAAACTATTTAGTTGAAAATTAATTTCTAAGTGTTTGGGGGTTTGACAACTATTTTGTTTTCATTACCTACATTCTGTATCTAACACATTTTTCTGTTATTCTTCGTTTGAATAACAATGTACACTGTCTTCATATTCCTGTATTTATTACACAAACCTTGCTCCAAATATTCCAAGCTTTGTTTCTGCCTTTTGATAATGGTGCACATCCGTCCCAGAGCAGCACGTTTCAGCTGTTTGCAGCGATACAGAGAATCCCCATACTTCATCAGGCGCACGTAGTCCTTCGCAACACTGCAGGGACAGCAAAATAGGAAGTGATGCAGCAACCAACCTCACAGGTACAGAACTGAAGAAAGAAATATTCCTTACTTGTCAATCAGATTCTTGGCAATATTAATCTGTCCCAAAGCCAGCTTGTAGTGATCTTTGTCGTACAGAACGTTCATCAGATCCGCATAAAAAGGATGAATATCCTAAGACAAAAAAAAAAAAAAAAAAAGGACATAAAATTAACCTTATTTTCTTGAAGATGACAATTTCTTGGCAACTATGTAAGTTCATTTTGTCCTCCAATACAGCAACACAAGTGACAATACAACCCAAACAGTTTTCATTACTATCTCGCCTAGCAAAAATAATCCCCTTTGTCATTACATGCATAATTGTCAATACTTTGAATTTTTATGCAATGATACCTTGGACTGGCTTAGACCAAGTTTCCATTTTGTCTTTCACACTGCAAAATACTTTCAGATTTCAACTCGGAACTTTCCTCTATTGAATAATAAAACTGCAAGAAGCCTGCAAAAGCACTTTCTAATAGTAAATTCATCTTATAGAAGAAACACAGAAATAGTGTTAACTCCTCTTGTTTGAGTGCTAAATTACGGGTAAGACTGGATAATAAGGGTTTATTCAATGTCCAGATAAATCTCCAGGCTTTCCAAGAAAGCAACACCTTCAATTCTTCTAAACTAATTAATTTTAGCTATTCATGCATTTATGTGGAGAAATTTCATCATGACGTATTAAAATGCAGGCAATATTTGCAGGAATTCAGGGGGTATAAAAACAGCAGGAAAAATTAGGCATGCGGGTGAAGGGTTTAAGCACGTATGCGAAGCTACCCATGAAGAAGCCCCAGTGGGCACCTGGACACAGCTGTAATTGGGAAGTTACGGCCACGCACACTGTGTCAAGAGTGCATTTCCAACACTATCTCTGATGCGGCTGAGAGTAACATTCATTTTGTCAACTGAAGTGACATTTCTGAAGGACTGAAGGTGGGAAGCAATGCGATGTGCTCGGCTACCTCCGACTTCCAGCACTGCCAACAGCATTTCCAGCCAACAGTCGAACAGCCAAACCTCTGCAAAATGCATCCTTCAGCAAACACCCACAGACAATTACTTCTCTATACACCTCTACAGAACACATCTGCCCAAATTTACTCTCATCAGGACCTGCTGGGCGCCACTCCGACCCGCAAACTGGAACTGGTGCAGAATTACCCCCAGTTACAGAAAGCTCCTTTGTGAGCACTGGGGTTGCACTTACATCCAGCTTAGGGAAGTCTGCCAGGATCTGGGTCAGCCGGTCGTGGTAGTTCTGCTGGGTGTATTTCACCTTCCTCATATAGAACTGCCGGATCCGATGGATTTGGTAATGTTTGTGAATGACAGTCGGGGTCTTCCGCTGAGTCTTGGACAACGTCAAATCGATGAAGTCCTGCAAACCAAAGCAGCGCAGTCAGCTACGAGCCGTCACGATGTAACAGTGCGATAAGCATCCGCTTCCTTCTGCCGGAGGCCCGGCAGGCGCCCACACCCCGCCGGCACGGGGTGAAGTTCCCCGGCCAGGCAATGAACGCCCGGCCCAGAGCCGCACCTCAGCGCCATCAACGGCGGCCGGCAGCCGCACGGCGCGGAGCCCGACGGGGGGAGGCGGGAAGGGAAAGGGGGGGCGCTCTCCTGTCAGCGCGGCACCGCGCGCGGCCGTACCTTGGCGGACGGCACCACCGTGATCTTCTTGAAGTTGTACAGCGCCATGCCGCCCGACCAGCGCCACGCCGCGGGAAACAGGAAGGCGGTCCGCAAGTCTCGCGAGAGCTCCCGGCTTCCGTCAGGGCGGGGCGGGGCCGCCGTGGGGTGGTGAGAGTCCATCCGACTGCACGTGCGGGTGCGCTGGTTGTGGGCGGGCTGCCGTCCTCATCGCCCTGCAGCGTGCCCTGAGTGGGTGCCTGCGGAAAGGAGCAGAGCTCCCGCCTGGAGAGCTGTGTGCGTGTCTGGAGGCACCAGCACGGGAAAGTTGTGGAGCTGTGGTGTGGGTACAGAGGAGGGCCACGAAGATGCTCAGAGGGCTGGAGCACCTCTCCTGTGAAGACAGGCTGAGGGAGCTGGGCTTGGTCAGTCTGGAGGAGGGAATGCTCCTGGGAGATCTCACTGCGGCCTTCCAGTACTTAAAGGGAACTTACAAACAGTCAGCTTTTTACATGGGTAGATAGCGATAGGACAAAGGGGAATGGTTTTAAACTAAAAGAAGGAAGATTTAGGTAAGATGTGAGGGAATTTTTTCATTATGAGGACAGTGAGGCGCTGGCACAGCTGCCCGGAGGAGCTGTGGATGCCCCATCACTGGAGGTGTTCAAGGCCAGGCTGGACGGGGCCCTGCGCAGCCTGAGCTGGTGCCTGATGTAGTGCTTGGCAGCCCTGCCCACGGCAGGGGGTTGGAACAGGGTGATCTTTGAGTCCCTTCTAGCCCAAACCAATCTGTTATTTTACGAAAATGGAGGAATCAGCAGCCTGGTCAGTGTGCGTGTCTGACCACAGCTTCTCTTCATGAGTATGAATGCCACGAGCTGTGGACACCTGGAAAAGCTAGGCCCTGAAACTAGGTGGTCTGAATGCCCCAAACCAGCTACTTGATATATCTTACACATCTTCTGCTGGCAGGCTTTCATGCTGCTCGGGAAGAGAAAGGAAGAGGATCATGCAATTCCATCTGACTGCGTGTGAGTGCTGTATGTGTGCTTATGGCAGGGACAAACCCAGCCTTCTTTCTAGTTGGCTGTGGGGGCATGGAGCAGCAGCAGCCTCACTTCTGGCAGGCTGCTGGGTTTGGAAACCCCAACCATGCATGCTCTTACCTCTCATTTTGTTGTTTTTTGTTTGTGGTGCTTTGTTTTGTTTTTTTTTTTTTAATAATAACTTTTGGTGGCTTGTCTCACACTAAACTGTAAGAGCTTTCAGATAAAGGTGTAGCCTGAGTGAATTCTGTAGCAGTTTTTTTTTTTGTGTGTGTGTGTGTATCCCTTTCTTTTTTGCATATCTCCAGCAAACAGTGAAATCCAAACACAGACCAAAGACATAAAATTGAAATACACCTAAATGCAGTGTGCTTGTCTGTTCCTCTTTTTTACTTGACACTGATAGCAAGTTGGCATACACCAAAATACGTCTGCTTTAAATGAATTACAGATTATGTGGTATACTTTGGAAGATGAGTTAGATGAAAAATTGAAAATTCCCTCCATGTTTTTTCCCCTCTCTCTCCATAAAGCATGACATTTTCCCCTTGAGAGAATTTAGTTACGTATTATTCTATCACTGCACATTTTTCTACAGTATTAGAAATTAAAATGCATAATTCCTTCTGCATTTCCTTTATTTCACTGCTTTACTAATTTTGCTGCAACGCTTCAAACAGCCATCCAATGCAGTGGAAATTTTAAGGTGCTTGAAAATTAAGAGTCTCTCTAATCAGACAAGCCAGTAGTTAATCCTTTCCAGAGATTAATTTCAGTAACGACTATATGAACACCATTCAATCATAAACATGCAGTTAGAACCATCCCATTTGCTGTAGCCACTCAATAGCACTACAGCTGCCCTACTGTGATGAGTTTGCTGCTTCATAAATATTTTTATGCTAAAACTTCTGTCTGCTTTTTTGAAGCATTCTTGAAGCAGTGAGATATGACTTCATATTTTATTTGTATTGTGCTTTGCCTCCAAAAACATAGTTTCATAGAGGAGAAGGAGCTTTTCTCTAGGCATATCCGTAGGTATCCCAAGTTTCTGGTACTTTTAGAGCAGCTGATGACACCCAGCAAGACCCAGATCATGTTCTGTGCTGATTGTCTAGAGAAACACTTGGGAGAATTGGCCGTGGGAATGGACACCACAGGGGAACCAAGGAGGCACTCTAGTACAATATGTGTGACATTGGCACTTTGCCTAGCTGTGACTTCAGCTTAATATTCATAGTTTCTCAAAAATGTTATCCCAAAATTGCCAAAGTAGCCTTAGACTCGGGGCATTTGGTCTGCATTTAATGTACACAAAGATTTTTGTGTCTGTGTTGGATATACTTAGCAAATTGGTGTGGATATACTTGGTGGATATACTTGGCAAATTTAGATGGTCCATATCATTGCTCTCTTGTCCCATAAGATAAAAAGACCAGTTCACAGTTACAGAATCACAAGGTAGCTAAGGTAGGAAGGGACCTCTAGGTACATCTCACCAACCCCTGTCCCAGCAGGGCTGCACAACGCAGGGTGCCCAGCACCACATTCACACAGCTTCTGAAGAGATCTCCAAGGATGAGACCTCACAACCTCTCTGGGCAGACTGGTCCAGTACTCCATCACCCACACAGCACAGAAATGCTGCCTGGTGTTCAATGGGAACCTCCTGTGTTCGAGTTTGTGCCCATTGCCTCTTGCCCTGTCAACAAACTGCACTGAAAAGAGCCTGGATTGATCCTCTTGGCATCGTTTCAGGTATTTGTACCCACTGATAAGATCCCATTCATATAGTTCTCTTTCTTTAAGTACATTGATTCTATGGAATCTCATCCAAATAAGCTAGTTTCAATCATTTCACCAGATTGCTATTATAAAGTCCCCTTCAGCATCAGTCCTCATGTATATATGTGTTCAAAGTCTTATTAAATCTAGTTTATCAGGCACACGCTGCACACAGTGAACAGTCTCCAAGTGAAAAGCTCACCCTCCTCTTTCCTTATCAGAAAGTGTTTTAAGTGGGGTTCATCAGATAATCTTTTGGTCTGGCAGCAGTACACATTCCCTCCTGTCCTTTGATTTCAGCAGCTGAAGCCCAACTAACTGGCGGGCCAGAGAATATTAATTCTGGCAGCCATTTTATTTCAGTGGGATTATTTGGATTTTGGTGAGAGCAGATGAGAAAGAAGAAACTGCCTTCCAGCCTGAGAACCCAGCCTGGGAACTGGGCCCATGAGCCAGAAGCATCCCTGAGAAGCGCTGCTGCCTCTCTGAAGTGCAGCTGAACACCTTGGAATTGGAGGCATCCTGCAGATACCATCGATAAGAGCAAACCGAGGAATGGGAACAGCAGCTTATCATCTGGCACAGTGAAAACAGTCTGGAAGAAAGGGGAAAACATCCTGAGAAAGCAGGAACCAGCACTGCTATTGGCTGTTTTAGCTGAAAGAAAGGAAAACAGTCTGGGATAAGCAAAGTTCTGTCTGAGAGAACTGGAAACATCATTGCCTATTGGTTGTTTAGGTGAAAACAAGAGTGGAGCAGCATCCATTGGGTGCTCTGAGAGGTGGTGTCCCACAGCCTCCTCAGTCCCCATGCTATAACAGGGACCAGTTCTCCATGCTGATAGAGCCTCTCTTGGAGAACACCCCATGCTGCAGGGACTCATCCTTTCCCTCCAGGATTTCTGAATCAAACTGAACCTTTGCTGTGGATGCCTGTCTGCTTCTGGCACGGTGACGTTGCTCATCCTCACAGTGAGTCTGTGTGCATTTGTTATTTGGTCCCCCTGCGGGGCCTGCTACTGGGCTCGGTCTTTACTGGCCCATAGTTTCATAGTATTTGGTGCTGAAAGCATTTAAATAGATAGAAGTATATACATATGCATTTAAGTAATTGATCATGAGTATATTTGCTACTTTGTAAGTGCTGTGTTTGTCCTAACCAATAGTATTAATATTTGTATATACTTCCTGTTATACTGACTGCTACCAGGATTGATTTCTGCTACTATTTGTAATAATAGATATGCACTTTCTCTCCTGGTAACAGTTAAAAATAGCTTGATACATACCTGCTTTGTTACTCATCGTTATACTTGAGAGTGGTGATTTGTGGTAATCTTTAATAAAGTAGGGAAACTTGGAAAATAAAGCTTCTGTGACTTTGTGTGCTACAGAATCCTGTGAACCTACTGTTGTGATCTCTATAAAACCACAGGCTTGGTGTTATTAATTGGTGTCAGAAGCAGGATTCTGTAAGAAATGCAGGTCATGGATGCTTGGGAAGAGGCAGTAGAAGAGCAGCGAAAATGGCAACAGGAGAAGGGATGGCAAACACCCAAGTGGGACAGGAACTGGGTAGCTGAGAATTGTTTCAATTGGGAAGCCCTGCGAGCTGAGTTTCAGAAGTGGCAAGAAAGTAGTAAAAGTAATGGGAAGGAAGAGAAGGGATCCTTCATTGGTCTCCTCACAGAGGCATTAGCAGCTGCAGGCACTTTGTTTAAAACTACAAGGCAGAAACTGGAAAATGCCTCACAAGGGACTTTGCAGCAAGCTACAGATGCAGAAGCACAAGCTAAAGGTGCTGCCTTTGAGTCTCGTAGATTTATTAAGAGCCACTTATTTCAACAATTAAAAGCTAACCTCACACCTCTGGCTTTAAGCCAGCTCGAGCAAGAACGTGTGCACCCAGTCCCCGAAAGTGAGATCATTGAAGAAACACATATGCTGAATACTGATAATGAGGAGGATTCTGATTTTAGCAACGGGCTGTTCACCCCCACCTCATTGCCTGAATCTAATGCAGATGAAACTGCTTCTCTGTATCCAATCACCCAACTCCCACCTCCAGGCAGAGATGAGGGCTCTCTCCTGCCACCTCAGGTCATGATGACTGAGATAAATCTGAATGCAGGACAGCTATGGCAGAAGTTCATACAGTTTAGCAAGAAGTCAAGTGAGGACTGGCTCGGGTGGGTAGCACGATGCTATCAGATGGGAGCTGGAGCTCTTATTCTTAATCAGAATGAAGCTAGACAAATATTCCTAGGAGGTGGAATAGTTCTTCACAACCCTGATGCAGAGGCTGGAAAAAATACCTTTTCTCTATTATCTTCAATAATACATGCTGTTAGACAAATGCAAGTGCGGTGGGGATATAGTCCACCTCCTCCATGGAATACCCGGGATGGGTTTGCCAAATGGACGATGAGACTGGCTGCCTGGGATGCCCTTAAGGCACAGGGTGCTATACCTGAGGACATGATGTCTCTGATGGCAACAGAAGCAGGGAAATCGAGACTATTGGAAAATGCAGCATATGGAGGAGCGAAGGGTTTAGCCTTAATGTTATACAGTAGGACTTATGACTGGAACACTATAATGGCTCAAGGT